AAAGATATCCGGCTAGCCAGGAGGATTCGAGGTGGAAGGTTTTAGGTACTATTCTAGACCTGAAAAATTAACGTATAAGATAATATGTGTTCTTCTTTGTTGCCTTCTTTCGTGCATACCCATATGTCTTTTGTCAGTGCAGCCTTGACTGTTTTTTGGTTTGCGTGAGGGCGTAATTGTTTTCTTTTCGTGTACTTTGTGAATGTGACAACTCCTCTTCTAGGACGGTTAACCTGTGGTTATAAATATATATAGGTATACATATATAGATAGTAGTATACCTGGTCTGTGCAAGGATCGAATCATGCGCCTGCCATTCCTGTCATGCCAACTCGGGTCACATACATTCTGCGGCCTGTTCGAACTCATTACTTAGCCAAAACTCTGGGAGTTCACTCTGCCCCTTCTGTAGAGTGAAACTACAGAGCAAATTCATTGTTTGGCAGAATTTTTCGTTTCCAGTGCAAGAATGAAGAAGTTCTCTTCTTCATTGGTATCGCTATCTTTCATAGGAATAGATATGCCGTCCCATTCCACTGACATGGTAGTGAAATCGAACTTAAATCCTAGATCAGAGAGAATGTCTCGACCTATGATAATGTCATACGCCCCCAAGCTCTTGGTGACGTGTAAATCCCATTCGATAATCCTATCGTCATGGAACTCAGGAATCATAAAGGCACCCTTGCACTTCGTGCTGGTGTTTAATTCTCCTGCAGGGGTAGTCCACATTGTTTGGACGCCCCCAAGATCCTTCATGCGTAATTTCTTAGCATGAGTTTGAGCAATCAAAGTTCCGGATGCTCCTGTATCCAGTAAGCAACGGAGTGTAACGGGTTTTGGTTTCCCTTTTTCTCGTCTGTTAAATCTAACATAGACGATAGGTTTGAGGTCTCTTGTCTTGCGACGTTTACGAGGTGGTTGGCCACGGACGAGGTTAACAATGCTAAATAGATCGTCAGAATCTAATTGAGCAGCTTCTAGGCAATCATCTAATTTGCCGTAGACTTCATCAGTTGCAAACAATTCTTGTTTACTAGTTAGTGAGTTATCTTCATCACTTAGGTATGAGAAATCGGAACATGGTTCCGTTGAATCATCATCCTGGCCTAATCCTCAGACGGAGATTTCTCCATCGATTGATTGAAATCGAAGTCGGCAAGAGCCTTGTCGACTGCAGCCATTTTCTTGTCCAAAATGTTGAGGGACCCGACAGAGGAGTTATCCTCGTTGTCAGAGTCATCCGACTTGCGCTTGGCAACATGGTTGCATTCGCCTTTCTTCTTGCGATCGGCCTTGACCGCAGCAGTGGAGACTTTCTTCATAAGGACAGAAAGTTCCTTCTTGGTGTAGGACTTGGCATCGTCAGACTTACGTTTCCAAGTCTTATTCTTGTTGTACGCTGGCTTGCTATCGTTGCCAGACGAGGACTTGGACTTGGGTTTCTTCAGAGTCATGCAGTCAGCAGTATTGTGAGTGCTGGACTTGTGGTAGTCACACCACTTTCCTTCGTTCTTGGAGGAGTGGTTGTTGTTGCAGCTAGACTTGTACTTCTTGCTGCTGTTCTTCTTCGAAGTAACTTGCTTGGCATCGCTGCCTTTGTCAAAGTCTTCAGCAGATTCCATGCGCTTACAGAATCCAATGAGAGCCGTCATCTCGGCAGTGAAAGGATCAAAGTCGTGTTCGTCCATCTTGCGCATCCAGGAACGAGGAATGCCATGACAGATGATGTCAATGAATTCGTCCTGGTTCAACTGTTGATTGGCACTGAAAGGTGGCAAACGCGGAAGCTCATCGGTATTCATCCGAGTGAGGTTGTTGATGTAGGCACGAGTTGTCATCTCGCTAGTGCCTCGTGGCGGGGTATGCATCACGGGGCTAGCCCCATTTGGAACGGCCGCTGTTGAGGGCATCCACTCGGTCAAGTAGAGAGTTTAGAGCATACATTTGATAGAAAACTGTTTCTTAGGTTACAGAGAAGCTTTCAGGACCATAGAAATCAGGTTGGAGCTAGCTCCCGGAGCTAGCTCCGGGAGCTAGCTCCCGGAGCTGGCTCCATTCTCTTGTTGACCTCCGAACCGAATCCAAACCAGCACCACGGCACCTGCAGCAGCAATAAGAGAGATAGTAAGAGACTGTGTTAGTACTCAAGTCGACAGGTGTGGCAAAACAGCGGCGTCGAGGACTTACAAGCTCGTGATAGGGGAAATGACCGTTGGAGCTAGCTCCCTCCACACAAAAACAGATCTTATAGCCGCTGCACCGACGCCCAAATCACTGCCACACAAAAGGAGCCACACCAAACCAAGACTGTTAGTATCAATGACAACGAAGAAGAGTATCAATTCAGGTTTTCATGCGTACCAAGAGCGCCATGGTCGGTCTTTTTAAGAGTCGCCCGTTTTCGAGCACGTAAACATCTGTTTCGCAAGAGCTTTATGGTGCGTCCCCCAATGGTCTTCGCAAAAGAATACGCCGTGCTTTGTTGGGCCATTAACATTGTAGTTTCTTCCTCGGCAAGAGGAGTGTTGACACTTCTTTTGAGTCTTCTTCCTGCAGTTGGTGGCCTGACAAGTGCGCCTTTTTGGTCGTCCATTGCCACCCTCCTCACAGTCGGAGTTATCATCGAACACGTGGTCATCAATAATCGATTCAACAGTTGCAACAGTGACTGGAGACACGACAGTTTGTGCTCTTGCTGCAATGCAAGCTGGAGGCCCGTCGACGTCGATAAACAAGCTGCCGAGCTCCGGTGGCCTGTCCGACAACATGTTCCGCGTGCAATCTGCTGCCAACCTGTCAGCAAAGTGAGTGACTGTGATTTCCGTCTGCTTCTTGTCTGCGACGCCATGCTTGAAGAGCTTCCAGCAATCCGTAATGGTAATGCCAATGATAGTTGTAGCAATTCGAAACCAACCATCGTGGGTGATCCACCTTTTCTCGAGCTTTAACTCGCCCTGCCTTGCATGGTTGTGTGCGTCGATTACATTGCTTTGAGCAAAGTAGTCAGACAGAACGGCTGGACGTTGGACTTTTCTTTCTTTTAGAGTGCCAAGCCTATCAGCAAACTTGGCAACGTATGGTTTACCAGGCTTTGTTGAGCCAGCATTCTTCGTTGCTAAGAAGAGGAGTGTCTTCTTCCGATTGTATCTGTAGCCAATAGCCACCAGGTCATGCCCGTTGGGTGTGTGGCATGTCATGACAAGATTCGAGCCACTCGGCCACTCTTTCATCTTGTCTTCAATCTGCTTTTTGGGAAACAGCCGGGTGTTGGTCTTCATTGCACCAACGTATGCATGGCCATGGTCGGCCATCCACTCAGCAACTGCGATGCTGGTGAACCAGGAGTCACCTTCGAAGAATTCGGGATGACCTGTCTCTTTTGCCACTCTTCGAGATGGTAGCTTTGATCCACAATGACTCGAAAGTTCTGCAAGACGTTTGGTGCATGCAATTGTTCCTCCGCACTCGGAATGCTTCAACTTCTTCATGGCATCGGCGCCTTCTTGAAGCTCGGCTCCAATAATAACGCCGGTTACTGTGCATGCAACAGTCTTCAGTTCAGTCCCCAAAGGCTCTGGCTTGCGTCCGACATACGAAAGATGGGGCAAGTTGCCGTATCTGGTTGTCTGCGGCCTGTACGCACTCATTGTCTCGTCGAGGATCTTTCGAATGGATGCTGCTATCACTCTGAATCTGTTGTCATTGAAGCCATCAATGAGGCCGCGGGTCATGTACCAAGGATCGCCACTTTCCTTGGCCTTCAAGTCCTGGAATGCATAGGGAAACATTGCCTTCAGATCCTTGAATCGCTGGTGAGACATGATTTCTTTTCCTTGCTTGCCAATGTTGATCGGATCAGTTACAGTCCACTCGTAACGGTTCTTGTCTTTCTCCCAAAGCTGTTGCCCGCCAATACGGAAAGCCGAAGCGCTGGCCAAGACGCCGATGAACTTCCACCATTCGTGGTTGGTACAGTGAGAGATAATGTGATGGGATTTCTTCTTCTTCTGTCGTTCATTCTCTTCATCAATCGCTTTATTCATCATCAACACCTGCTTCTTCCAATCACCAGGCCACAAGGTTTGAAGCAACTTCAGGTATGGGTACTCATATTCGAGGGTGTTCAAGGTATCCGCAATCCTGCCGCGTTCAAACTTGTTGAAGTCAAAGCCAATGAGACCAACAATGTTGTATTCTTCCAACTCTTCTTCTTCTGGCTCTGAGTCTTTCACTATGTTCCAAATGTAAGGCTCTGGTTCCCACACCTGAGTAAGCCCCTGAGATGACTTTTCAACCAACTGTTGGCTGCCATCAAATCTCACCATCCATTTTGTTCCATCTGGTGAGCGCTCTACGATCTTGCCCTGTCTTGCACTTTTGCCTCTGCCTTTGACGATTGAGCCGCATTGGAGAGGAGGCTTATCTGGAACAAGATCGACTGACCATTCCTCTTCAAGCAGACGTTTCTTCTCGGCATTGTAGATCTCCGTCTTCCTACGGTGTTCCTCTTCATGCTCAAAGTCTCGTTCATCAGCCGGTTCAACATCTTCAGTTGGTTCGTTGGGGATGGCATCTTCCAGCTGGACGTCGTCGGATTGAACTATTGTCCGTGTTGGTTCATCGTCCGAAGAATCCTCATCAAAAGTGACCAAGGGGTAACCATCGTTCGAGTCGTCGTCGTCGTCGTCGTCGTTTGAGTCGTCGTTCTTCGAGTCGTCGTCCGACATATCCGATTCCGAATCTGGTTGACGTGCATTCGAAATCTGAAGATGCATCCTCCAATTATATGGTGGCGGTTCATCGCCATTGCTGTTGTTGGATTCAGAAGATGATGACGAAGTACTATTCATCACTGAGCCTCCATCGTTGTTGTTGTTGTTGTAGGAGGGAGCATCGGACGAGGAGACACTGGATAACGAGGAATCAGACGAGCCTGGAATCGAAGGACTGCCATTCGTAGAGTAAGAATCCGAGCGCGCTATTGGCTGCTTTGGTGTACGCACGACCTTGTGATTGAGTGCAGCCTTTCTCTTTGGCCTTCGTGGCGTTTTGACAGATGTAGAGGACACCGATTGATTTTCAGTTTCATTTCCTCGTTTGGGCGCTGTTTGTTGCTGATTCTCCTGCTCATTTTCTTCTCGTTGTTGTTGCTGTTGCGGCCCTTGAGTGGGACCTTGGTTGGTAGAACGGCTTAACTGCGCCGAGGTTTTCACGAGTTGAATGGTCGTGCCGTCCGGTTCCTCGAATTCAACAAGCCAGTGGTGCTTCCTTTCATCGTTTCTGTCGATCCGCAAGATCTTTCCGTGGCGCTTGGTCTTCGCTCTCTCATCTACCCATGTACCAGGAACAAGATTTGGTTGCCGCTGTCGGCTCATCTTGATTGATTGCTCTAAGGCGATCTCATCCACACGCTGTGCACTCTTCGCACCAATGTGTCAGAGCGGTAGAGGCACTCGTCTCCGTTTCAGCGCGAAAAAAGTCGCCCCAAGCGCCAATCCGCCTCGAAATATTGTCACATGAACCAATCCCATCTGTTGAGTATTGAAAGGGCAGCAAGCCGTCGTGTCTTTGGTTTATCAAGGTATCCATGGACGAAACTTGAAAGGGGAGTGGAACATGTGTTGAAGCGCTTGGATGGAGTGGGCTTTGGCTCGCCTGGAGCAGCTCCAGTCAGGTCACGAACCCAGACTACTGTATTTTCTATAGTAATCTATGGGTTTCTTGACCGGTCGAAAACTCGAAAAGCAACCACAGCCACAATCGAAGAGAACGCCTTTCCAGCGAACCATGACCATGCAGCCGCTGCTGGAATAAGATGATGCTGCTATTGATTTTCAGTGCTACTAGCTAGCTAGCTACATATCAGCGGCACTTGCCCCCCAGCGGCAGTAGATGTGCATTTGTTCTTCTGTTGGATGTTGGATATCTCTTCTTTTCGGATTGATGACGTCCCATTCCTTCCCGCCGCTGACGTTGACACAACAACAACAACAATGGTACGTAAACGATGTTCGACCATGATGGCAGTTATCAATCAATAAGCTTGCTACTACTGTTACCACTACTAAGTAATACGTCCTTGTTACAGTTGTCGTGTTCTTCTTCTTCAGATTCTGCGGCAATATCTCCGGCAATTCCTTTGGCTCCAGTTTTAAAAGAAGTCTTGAGACATGGGATAGACATTCAAGTCATCTTCATCCGACGACTCAGCCAAGACAACAGGAGGAGGGTTGCGACGACGACGAGGGTTGCGGCGGGGACGAACAGGAGACTGGTTGTTGCTGGCTCCGTTGTTGTTGTTGTTGCGGCCGGATCTGGTAGCCTGATTGTTGGCAGTCCCCGTGTTGGAAGTGCCCACTTCATCGACAGTGGGGAGATCGAGACCGGCGAATGCTTCAGCGAAGGCTGCCTCCTCACCCGAAATATCATCATCCGAAAACTCTTCCGAAGGTTCTTCATCCAAGGGTTCTTCATCCGAAGGTTCCGAAGGTTCTTCATCCGAAGTTTCCTCAGCCGGAGGTTCTTCATCATCCGAAGGCTCTTCGTCACTCTTCTCTTCTTCTTCCTCGTTGGTCAAATCGACGACGGATTGATCACTTGGTGGGCCAGGGATTCGAGGCAGTTGGGGGAGGCGCATGGCTGGTCCAATGTTGGTAGGAGGCGCAATGATCTCATCAAGGATGACCGGAACAACTTCATAGTTGATTGGACCACCATCGTCAGGAATCGATGTCGTGAGCGCAACAAGGTGAGTGCTGTCATCGCGTGGATCGACCACACGGAAGAAGAACTTGTCAATGTGGATGGTGTTGTTGTTGTTGGGCATGATTGTTTTTTTGTGAGCAAAGACAAGTGTTTTGTGTGTCGGATGGATCCTTTGTGGCTCCACGCCAGGCTGGCTCAGGTTTTGCTTGAGAAGAGCGGATGGTTCCAATGACTATGCATATTTGAACCGCCCAAATATTGTTTGTATTGTATGTTGCAAGCTTTGTTGGGCTTGTTCTCGCGGCCGGAGTTGTCCTGGAGTTGTTACTCGTCTTATTCTTGTGGAGTTACAACTTGCAGAACAGATGATCGAACTGCTAATCCTACATCGTTCTCTCTTCCAGCGAGGCAGTGCAAGAAGCATCATGCCGTTTGCAAGGACCATGGCTGATTGGGTGCTCGCTTCGATCTTTTTTCTTGGCCGCTATGTTGCCTGCTTCTTCTTGTTCCTTGTGAGAGTTTGCTTCCATATCTGTTGGCTAATTCTTGCTTCCTTCGCTCTTGATGAGCTCAACCGCATCATTATTGGCTACTGCTGTATCAACCCATTCGAGTACCAGCCAACCTTCGAGTATCCGCGTGCTCCGACTCCTCCTCCACCACCGCCTACCCCCCCACGGCCTACTCCTCCACCACCACCAGCAACATGGGTGACGGCTCAAGATATTGATGGTCTTCCTTGTGAAGAGCTTGATGGTGTCTCTTTTCGGTTCAAGTATCGCTTCCATGATGACGTTGAACACGTCCAAGGCTCCTTGCGAGTTGATAGGTATGGCAACACTCCCATGCACAGACTTTGGGTGGACGGACACCTCTCTCTCCCATGTCCAACAGGGCAGAAGAAGCGAGTGAAAGGAGACCGCTACGATTACCCAATCCTTTTGCCATTGGGTGGTACGTTCGTTGCCTTGGATGATCTTGGAGCGAGTGAAAAGTCACAGACGAAGTATTTCCTTTTGAAGGTGGAGTTCTCTGGCAATGCCGACGGGCTGGAAGTGCTGCAGTTGATTGTGCCTGTTCGCAACTCTTCTGAAAGGCTCTCCGCTTGCTTGGCTTTCCAAAAGCAGCTCTTTCGAGCACTGAAGGTTGCAGCAAACACAGCTGGCTAATGGTGCGTGGTGTTGGTGTCCAGTTGCCTCAGTTGTTGCTCTTTTTTCGACACATCCAAGTAGCCGGCAACAAGTATAATGCTCACTGTCTTCCTCTACATCCCAACAGAGCATTCGGTGACCTTGGTTGCTATCATGTGGCTGTTTACGATGCCGATCCCAAATGGATCTAGCCCCATTTCGCAACTTTTGAGGAAAAAATGCCCACCATGGCGCCTTCTGTCGCTATTTCAGTTACAATAAGTATAGGATGATACTATCATTAGCTTGTAGGGTATCTTTAGCAGTGTTAATGGTTCAAAGATGAGCTTAATCGGCCTGAAACTGACGGAGATATGGCCATTTCAGTGGAGGGACCAATCGGAGCCAGCTGGCCCCATATGGAACCACCCCACAACGAGGCACTAGGCTTGCACATCTTACGACGCATGAAGCATTTCTGTTTTTCGAGAGCCTTGTAAGGACAGGCTTGTTCGATCACCACGTTGATTCCGAAGGTGATGTCAGCATCGCTTAGAGCAGGTTCTGCTGCACCGTCCCATGCAGCTTGGACACGAGCCTGGAATTGGACTTCGGTTTCTCCAGAAGTCACGTCGTGTGGAGCAATTGCGTTCACAGCAATTTGTCGAAGGGCGTTATGACGCACGACACGACTGCCTGCACACCCAGCTTCATAGGCACTCTTTGCAGAGCTGGAAGTCATCTCCTTGAGAAGACGATGTTTGTCGTCGGCACCAGCAAGGTTGAGTCCAACGAAGACCTTCTCCATATTCGTGGCCCACTTGATGGTCTCACGTGGAGTGTTGGAGCCATTGATGATGGCTGCCTTGAAAGTGTACTTGGCACTGCCTGCATCTGCAGGAATGGTGCGAAGTTTGTAGGTGGTTGCACGAGTGTCGTCAACCTTGTTGTCTTCGTCATTGTCGACGAGAGGAAGAATGGGTTTGTCACGCAACTGTTTCTCGAAGTTGCTGAATGCATGCTTTCCTTGAGCAATCTTCATGGTGAAGGAATATGTTGAGGGTAGCTGAAAGCTATTGTGTTTGTTAACAAAATGCACTACGCTAAAAGCTAGTGTAAAGATCTTTCGAGTGTTTTGAGTTTGAGAGAATGAAAGTTATGAGAGAGATTAGAAAGCTACGAAAACTAATCCATGAGAGAGATCGTTGTGAAGCTCATTGAAGTTGGTCTCCCGCGGGAGGCCTCGAAGTGTGATATCGTAGGTTATGATAATAACTCTACGTACTCCACGGTCCATTTCCGGAACACGTGGAAACTTCCGCTAGTAGCTGTCTAGTAGCGTGGAAGCTTTCCACGCTGGCTAAATATCTAGAGCGATGTTTCATCGACAACCTAGTATGACTAGCAGTCATGAGAACCCTGTCTCAATGACTATTCGCGAAGGACTACGTCATGAGTCGAACTCAAACCCTATCTAGGATCGAGTCGCGAATAAGGCTAAGAGCCGTGTATTGCAGTATTAAAAAAATTAAATAGCTGCCGGTAGCTTCCAGCTTCCAGAAGTTGCGATATCACACTTCGAGGCCTCCCGCGGGAGACCAACTTCAATGAGCTTCACAACGATCTCTCTCATGGATTAGTTTTCATAGCTTTCTAATCTCTCTCATAACTTTCATTCTCTCAAACTCAAAACACTCGAAAGATCTTTACACTAGCTTTTAGCATAGTGCATTTTGTTAACAAACACAATAGCTTTCAGCTACCCTCAATCTATTCCTTCACCATGAAGATGGCTCAAGGAAAACATGCGTTCAGCAACTTCGAGAAACAGTTGCGTGACAAACCCATTCTTCCTCTCGTCGACAAGGACGAAGACACCGAGATCGACGATACTCGTGCAACCACCTGCAAACTTCGCAACCATATTGCCAAGCGCAAATCAGAAGACTCTGATAACGAGGACAACTCCTCTATCGATTTCAATCACTTGGATGGAGAAATCTCTATCTGAGGATTAGGCCAGGATGATGACTCAACGGAACCATGTTCCGATTTCTCACACCAAAGTGATGAAGATATCGCACTAACTAGTAAACAAGAATTGTTTGCAACCGATGAACACTACGGCAAATCAGATGATTGCCTAGAAGCTGCTCAACTAGACTCTGATGATCTATTTAGCATCGTTAACCTCGTCCGTGGCCAACCACCTCGTAAACATCGCAAGACAAGAGACCTCAAACCTATCGTCTATGTTAATTAACAAGCGAGAAAAAGGGAAACCAAAACCGTTACACTCCGTTGCTTACTGGATACAGGAGCATCCGGAACTTGATTGCTCAAACTCATGCTAAGAAATTACGCATGAAGGATCTTGGGGCGTCCAAACCATGTGGACTACCCTGCAGGAGATTAAACACAGCACGAAGTGCAAGGGTGCATTCATGATCCTATTCCAACGATGATAGAATTATCGAATGGGATTACACGTCACCAAGAGCTTGGGGGCGTATGACATGATCATAGAGTCGAGACATTCTCTCCAACTTAGGATTTAAGTTCGATTTCACTACCATGTCAGTGGAGTGGGACGGCATATCTTTCCTATGATTCCTATGAAAGATAGCGACACCAATAGAAAGAAGAATTCTCATTTCCTGACCTACTGCCGTTGACGACAAGTGCAGATGTCTCAAGAAGATTCTTCATGCGAAATACGAACAAGCTGACTTTAAGCAGGTTTGCCAAAGTCAAAACAGTTGAATAAGGAAGAGAGGAAACAGCTTCATTCCTTATTAACGAAGTACTCTGACCTATCGATGGCACTCTAGGAAAATGGCAGATGGACGACTAAAAGTAGAACTCTCCCTGACGCTAAACCCTATCACGCTAGGGCTTATCCTAATCCACGTGTCCATACCAACACTCTTAAGATGGAGTTGAACGTCTCCTGCGAGCAAGAGTACTCAAGAAGGTGAACCGTTCCGAATGGGCGGCACCAACTTTTATCATTCCCAAAAAGGATGGATCGTACGATTCTCTCTGATTTCCGGGAACTAAACAAAAGGATTAAGGAAAGCCTTATCCTATCCCAAAAATACAGGACATGCTCTTTAACCTAGACGGATTCAAGTACGCCACTAGTCTAGACCTGAACATGGGATACTATCACATCGAGCTGTCACCTCACTCGAACAACTCTGTACTATCGTACTCCCGTGGGGAAAGTACGAGTACCAGAGGTTGCCAATGGCTATGTAATAGTCCCGACATCTTCCAAGAGAAGATGGGAACACTATGCACGACTTGAATACGTGCATACATTGAAATCTACTCATCCTAACTAACGGCGATCAGCAGATCACGTTGAAAAGTTAGATGAATTCTCCGAAGCTTCGAGAAGCCGGACTTAAGATCAATGCTACCAAGTCTTCTTCGCAAGAGGGAACTTGAATACTAGTTACTGATTACTCGAGAAGGGATCCAACCTATAACCAAGAAAATAAGACGCGATCCAGAATATCGCTCCCCTACTAACAGAAAAGAACTCCGTAGATTCATTGACTAGTGAACTTCTATCGAGACATGTGATTAGACGATCACATGACTGGCCCACTCGCTTCGTTACTTCGCAAAACAACGAAGTGGAAATGGGAAGCCGAACACGCCAAGGCTTTAGCCAGATGAAGAAGATCATCAGCAAAAAGAAACCTTGCTCGCTTACCCTGATTCAACGATACATTCTTATCCACACGGATGCGAGTGATACTCAAACTAGGTGCAGTAATTTCCCAGAAGGGAAAACCTATAGCGTTCTACAGCAGGAAGCTCAACCGCTCTAAGACGCTACACCGTTACCGAGAAGGAACTTTCAGTATCGTAGAAACTCTGAAAGAGTTCCGTAACATTCTTCTAGGACAGAAGATTGTCGTACATACGGACCATAAGAATCTTACATGTAAGAACTTCAATACCATCGCGTAATGCGATGCGCCTTATTCTGGAAGAATACGGCCCTGAACTACGGTACATCAAGGGCGAACACACATCGTCGCTGATGCGTTGTCAACTTAACATCTCCAACAATGATGGTCTTCAGAACAGATGGAAGCCAGCGGGATCGCTGAGCTCATGGGTCAGACGAAGAGGACTTCCCTAACGAGTTCCCTCTCTCGTTCCCCGAGATCGAACTCGTCAGAAGGACGACAACGACATCAAGAAACTCCTCAGGGACAAGCCAAACGACTACAAGAAGCAATCTTTCCCCAGAGGGGATAAGTCCTACGACTTAGTAGTCAAAGACGACAAGATCGTCGTACCTAAGACTATGCAGAAGAAGCTAGTCGAATGGTACCATGGTGTACTGATTCATCCTGGCGAGACTCCCACAGAACTGACCATCAGCCAAAACTACACCTGGAAAGGACTGCGAAGACTGTGACGGCCGTATGTCAGCGTTTCCAGAGCTGCCAGATGAACAAAACCAAAACGCGTAAGCTGGGATTGATGTCCTCCAAAGACTTGGGAGGAGATCCCTTGGAAAGACTATGTATTGACCTGATAGGTCCTTACAACGTTGGGGATCCTAAGAAAAAGAATTCCTGCACACTCCATTGCTTGACAATGATTGATCCCGTTACCGGATGGTTCGAGATTGTAGAATCTGCTCCAAGGCAGGC